GGGGGGGGGGGGGGGGGGGGGGGGGGGGGTTGGGTGTGTAGACAAGAGGAGACAGGAAGCAAAGGTGTAAATGAGCTCATTCAGATTTAACCCAAGTGGGAGCTTAAAGGGATCAAAAGCCATTCTCTTTGGGAAAAGCACCAAAACAAATGTATAAACACTTTTATGCAGATTTATGTTTTTAGTTGATTGCCTTTAGAATCTTTTAAATAATTTCACTTTGCAAAGAGTGAAACATGCTGTGCATAGATTTATTAAACCGACCGCCTCCGTTCTTTTTCTATGTTGGTTTTCATCTATGTAACTCTGACACGACTACCCTGAGCTGAGCTGTCATGATGAAATATATCATGAACAAGGACAGCTGAGTGCACAAATTTGAGACTCTTTTATAATATTGAACGTCAAAAGCAGATGCTGGGGTCAAACTCAGCCCAGTTTTTCATATTGTGATCAAGGAGTCATTACGCAGAGTTTACTAGAAAGTATGAGTCCCTTTTGTTTTCTTTGGGCGACCTGGTAAAGAGAGGGAAACAAACATGTTTGGTTGTTGTTTATGTTGACTGTCATCTGTAACGACAATGAAAATAGCATTGTGAAAACAACCCTTTCTTCTTCTGGCTCCAGGTTCTGATAGAGATGGTGCAGCAAACTCACATTTTTGAGAATATTTTTCAAAACCAAAACTAAAGTATAATCAGCCTAATACATTTAAAGTAATAGCATTTTATTACACTGTTTGCTGAAATGGTAGAAATGCAGTTTTCCTGATTGAGCTGGGTCTCCATCTTGTGGGGATTTAATACACTGCACCGTGTTGGTGCTCACCTTTTCATTTCCCTGCATTTTTCTTATGTTGTTGTTGCGTTTCCCCTCAACAACCGAGTCTCTCCCTACCTGTTGTGATTCCCCGCCTTCAAAATAAACCAAACAACTGCACCTTTACTGTTAGGAAAAGTCCTTCCTGGGCTTCAGCGTTCAGGTGGGAACGCTCACAGGATATCCTGCGTGTAATATGACTCAGTGGACGGGGCCGGGCTTTACTCACATCGTATCACCGAACAAGCCCAGCCCTTCACGCCCCGGTCAGGTTGAAGGCTTTTTTTCCCACTCGGGTGAGGCTGATCTGCTCTCACTTTCTCGGTCGACACTTGCGCAAAGACGCACAGGACGCTCTCCGCTGGAAAAAAGACTTCAACTCCCTGCCCGCTGTTTGCCCTTCGCTTATCCTCGCTCCTCGCTCTCTGATTGTCCAACATGTTCCGTTGTGGGATCGCCTACCCGCGATGCAGGTGGATCATGCCCCTGCTTCTCTTCTTTGCCCTCATTTTCGACCTGATCGCCATCGCCGCCCAGTCGGGATGGGTCGAGGACGAGGACGCCGAGACCCACTACGCCAGTATGTGGGACGAGTGCCAGGGCAGGAATGACAACTGGGAGTGCAGATCTCTCATGAAGTATCGTAAGTGTTCGTCCGTACATACATTTTTTTAAAAATGATAATGAACTATGTGGGTCGGGGGGTAGAAGCGCGTCTTGCTGATCGTCTCCAAATTCAGCGAACAGACATGTCCACCTGAGAGAGTCGACCTGTGATCAACACAAACACAGAGGAGGGAGGCCTGTTAAACACATAGTCAGTCAAGCCAAACGAACTTTGCCCCAACGGTGATTAACCCGCTCATTTCGCTAAATGTTGTAAAAGGGAAGGTGTTTCCAAAGAAGCCCCGCAGCCAAACGGAATAATGCGTGTTTGTGGGGGAGTACTTTTGGTTTCTTGGTTTCTAGAGCTGAGGAGTGCTCTTCCACAGGCTTACAAAACCAGGAAAACCGAACCATAACAATAAAGGAAGCCAGTCGACTCGGATTATTTCCCCCTCTGCCTTTTTATTGAGATTATTGAATAACTTACTATTTTTTATCCCTAAATGCATGTGATGATGATGGTAACCATATTTAAAGCCTCGGATCAGGTTTAAATATTGAAAGGCAGAACATATTTGTTTACCAGAATACAAAGCCATTTATTTATATGGCACAACTTGAACAGGGATAAGTCAAAGAGCAGAGTGTTTAACATTAAGACAAAAACAGGAGCTACATCAGAGTAGGACTTCCTGGAGGATCTACCAATATAGGACGCAATACATTAGTTTCCTTTTACACTGAGCAGAGGCTTAACAGGGGTCATTGGCCTGTGTTCTATCAAACTAAATCTACTGGTATGTGTTTTAGAGCTTCAGTCATACAGCTGTTCCCTCCATTTTTTTTCTTTCTGCAAGGGAATGCCAAACATGCCAGAGGACCTTAAGTTGGACAGTGTGTACAACACACTGCTTCCGCAAAAAGATTCCCCACAATCCAACAGATGCAGCCTGTGGATGGAGCTAAAACGTGGCTTCCATCCCAAATAGGAGCTGGGTCCTGTAAAACAACCCACACGTTGTTAATCATAATGATCGATTAGTTTGCTGTGGTCAAACTTTCAGGGAAAAAAACAACCCAGGTGTCTTTTTGAAATAATTTAAAAATGGGTTTTGAGACGTCATGCCAGAATGAAACGGGACAGAATTTAAGATGGCCGACTGGTTATCACAGTTAAGGCTATTTATAGATAAACTGTTAATGAGTTCTCATCCAGTCAAAGGCACTCAAGTCAATCCGAGATATGCCGAGCACTAACTGCAAACAGAACAAACTTGTGGCTCCTTCTCAGGTTGTGTTTAAGCTACGAATAAAGGCGGCATTGTTTTTTCCTCCATCATTCAGGGAAAGTCGCCCCGTTCAGATAAAGGCAGGCCGCCCCTGCTGGGAGCCCCCGCCGCTCCACAACAGGCACTGGAAAAAAACTTAGAATGATAAGAAAACTTTGAGTTCATAGAGATGGAAAAGAATTCGTTTAAAAAAAAAACTTTATTTTTTGTTTTTAGTGAGTGATATTTATGTAAAAAAAAAACTCACAGAGGTTTTAATTTAATGTCAACATTGATGGAACAAAGAGTTTCCATCTTCTTCCCTTAACTGTGTCAGTATCACAGATCCTCAACGTGGGGACAACACGCATGAAAACACCTTGTTGCTCGTGCAGCTTTGGGTTGAATCGCCCGGTTCTGCTTGTGCGTGCTGTTCGCTGCCGTTTTTGTCCGGGCCCGATTTGCTCTCAGCAGGAGAAGAACGCAGCCGGCAGACGGCTACTGGTTGGACAGGACGCATGGCCCCGAGGTTCCTCTGGTCTAAATTCTTCTGGGGCTGAGCTGAAAACCAAGGAAACAAACACAATTGATATGTGTGTGTGTGTGTGGGTGTGTGTAGGATGTTACGAGTTTTGGAACTGCACCAAACAAAAGGAGGACAATGTTCCAAGGAGCTGCAACGTTGTGAACAGGAGCAGATATGTTCTTCTGTTCTTGTCAAAGTGCTAATGGTAAAAAAACATGAGTCCTAGCTTTAATATGATAAATGAAAGGGGTTGCTAAAGATTTGGAAATAAACCAGTTAACCTGGTAAACCAACAAAAATAAACTTGTGATTCTAATGTTTTAAATCTCTTTAAGTTATCGGAGCAACAGCATTCTATCATTATTTACTTATTCAACAGAGGGGTTTTATTGGGTTTTAGAAGACAGTTTAAATAAAACTTTAAGTCAGGGTTTCGTTACATTTTTTTCAGTGGAAGAAAACGATGTGACTTTCTTTTATTACCTTTCATCACCTTTCATCACACCCAGAGAAACTCATGGGGGTAATTTATTTTTTCAGTTGGAGGAGTGCAGAGGTGTGGCTAATTAAAGGCAAGCCGTAACATTTTCCAAATGCTAACCCGTGTGACTCACTGATCTGACTGTTGTGTTATGGTACAATGTGCTGTAACTTAGCTGGGCCAAACGAGACAAACTTGAGTCGTGAGCTTTCCCGCTCATTAAAAGAGGTAAAAGACTCTTTAGTGACAACTTTGTTCAAGTCCAGGATCAACATGCCAACAGATAAGGACACAAATGAGGTTTCCGAGCAGCTGAGCCGACCCTTTGGTAGCTCTGTTACAGAACCCAATACGGGCCCATCTCAAGGGGAGGAAATAGTATTATTAATACAGATTATGTCTTTTATATTTTCCCTTCAGTTCAGAGACTGTAACATTTTATACTCTGAAAGATGTAAAATTGACACCGTGGAAGTGTGTAAGGTCAAAGAGACATATGTTTTTATGGTCTGAGTTAAATCACTTCTGAAGATTTGCTTTCACCATAGCTTCTGGATTTTTTAGGGTTTCATGAAAAGGCTTATACAGGATGCTCGGGGTGTCCATTCGATCCCTGCTGCCTGACATAAAGCCCTCTTCTAAAAGCTCCGATGGGCATTCTCTGTGGCTGTAAGACCTTATCTGCAGGTTGAGGAAAAACTCTCCCCTGTTGTTCCCCAAACGCAGCACCTTTGTGGACAGTGTGGGAAAGTCTGTCGTTGGATTCTCTGTATTTTGTGAAGCTGTGCATTCCTGTGTGTGCAGTGTGTTGGCGCTGTGTGAGACAGCAGCATGGGGGAAAGTTTTGAACAGATTTTGAGCAGCTGGATGGATTTAGGTTAGTGCAGACAGGCATTTCTGGTTTCCCACATATAGGACACTGACGTAAATATTTGTATGATGTATGTAAAGCTTCCTTTCCCTTAAAGTTAAAACGAAAATATTATTTTAAGGTGATCTAATCTAACATAAATTTCATGAGGTGAACAGATCCTGCGTCTTCTTTTGTTTGGCTTGTAGGACCTCATGCTAAAAAGTTTATAGAAGAAACTGTACTTTTTTATACTAGATTACTTTATGCATACTCAAACTTGTTATAAACTTAAACATTAAGCATAATCGGAAGCATAGATATTACATTTGCACAATACGTTTAAATCACTTTGATTACAAAGTCTAATGACTATATGTAATTTTAATTAGTTTTCTTTGCATATGCTGAAGATGGTGCATATTTTGCGCATATTTATGGACGGCTAAAAAAACATATACAAAAAACATTACCGTCACAAAGCGCAGCCAAAGACACAAAAAGGAAAACAATGTTTTGGAGTCTAAAAAAAGTATTTGAGACTTTTTGAACAAATAAAAGTAATAACATTCCATTGGTGGGTCAATTTCACACATTTCTATTAACTTGGCATGTCACAGCTCATTTATAACCAACTCATTTAGGTGGCTGAATAAAAACCACTGGGTGACAATAACAAGCATTCAAAAGTTGAATATTCTGGAGCGTTTAAGCTTCTCAAAATCACTGCACACCCTCTGTGACATTGTTCTCAGTCAGCTTCTTCGTCTCTGCTGCAATAGAGGTTTAATGAGGTCATTCATTCCTTCCCACAGCAATAAACTTACACAAGAACTCACTAAAAAATAAAACGGTATGCACATGTTCTGTTCAACCAAATGTTGAAACAATGTTATTTGGGATTTTTTGGATTAATGTAGTTGCAAAGTTTTGAAATGGCACACGACTTGTTTAATTTGATATCTTCTAATTTCATCTGAGCCTGACATGACGGTGTTAAAGAGTTTTTATGTGTGGTGAATAGGATCTTTTAGAATTTGCATGCAAAGGAACATTATCAATATTCAGTTAGAAAAAGTTTGAACCAGTTAAACCAGTTTTGTTCGAGCGTGATGAAAGAAATGCCTCTGGCTGAGACGAGGTAGACGCATACAGTAATACTGACACAGCCACGGCTGTGAATAATTTAAGGTGTGGGCTCCGGTATCAGCGAAATGAGTGTAGCAGTGGGCAGAAAATCTACACTTGGTTTTAAAGTCCAGATCATTATTGGGATAATCTGCCGTAGTCATATATAGTGTGCCTGATCATCACAAATGCATGATTGGTCATTGTTCAGTTTACCCACTAAGTTAGATCTGATGGGAGGCTTTAGTCCTTCCCGTCACTACAGGCAGTGTCTTCAGGCGTCAGGCAGGAGGGGAAGGGAGCGGCTGTTCAGGGTGTGGCAAGAACACAGTAATCTATCCTCTAACCCAGCAGTTAGTGCTGAGACAGTGTTTTCCAGTATCACAACAAAGGCTTGAGCCAGCTCAACTTTACTGTGCACATGGTTGTAGTTTAGCAGAAGACCCTATATTGGTAATATCAATGTGTTTGATTGTGTTATACTCATGAAAAATAGTTTAGCTCTCATGTTCGTGCTTCTGTACAGTGGTGTGGGTTTATTTTCAGATGTCAGAAAAAAAATGTTTTTGTGTCTGTGTTTTTTTCCCTCTTGTATTTGAGTACAAACTTTGCTGTACATCAGCCAAAAGCTGCATGTGACATATGGTGCCATAAGGAGTCTATAAGAAGCCTGACAAAAGAAACAAAAGCATAAAAGTGTCCTATCAGGAATCATAAATGAAGAGGACTTTGGAAGGAAAGACCAGATAATCTGTAGTAGACAAAAGACTTCATTCAGAAGTGACTTTTATAATATGGATGTAAGAAGCCTAAAAAGTAATGTAGTTATATTTAGCTTTTTATTGGTTTGTTTGTCTGCATCATGACTCTAACTTCTTGTTTTCTTGTGTTGTTTTTTTTTGCTCTTCAGCTTGGGCCCAGGCAGTTGCTGCTCTCATGATCATTGGTTTCATCCTCCTGGTCGTAGCCTTTATCGTCTCTATCTACGCAATGGTTAATGTCTCCCCTTCAGCTATGTCCGCGACAAGTGGCCTGCTGCTTGCTGTTGGTAAGCGATGGACCCAAACACACAGACCTGCATGCATGCATCTCATTTCCATGAGCGCACACACACACATACAGAGACCGGCGCAGACAAAGGGTTGCCTGTCTGGCGTGTACCTCACCTCTCGCCTGTCGACTTCTGGGTCGGCTCAGACGCACCGAATCCCCGAACGAGTTCAAACAGCCGCACAGAGTTGCTCCCTGAATGAGGTGATAGTACAAGCAGACTCTGTGGGAGCTCCAAAAAGCAAACCTTTCAGTTTTCTACACAAAAGCACACGTATTGCGTTCCTCATTCTAAGTTCGTCATAAAGATGGAAGAAGCTAAATAAAAGAATATGAGCTGAGATTATGTCAAATTTCAGTATTGGTATTATTATTGTTATTATTTGGTATTATATGAATGAAAATGGACTGAACTGAATGGAACAATACATGTGCTCACTCCAGACTGAGGGAAGGGAGACAGAGACGTTGAGCAAAGCGCCAAAGGTTATCAGTGTTACAAACAAAAAAAAGAGTTGCATGAATAAAGGTACTAAAAAGCTTAAAGTTGTGCCAGTCATCATTGGCAGGGACTAACTAAGAATTCCCCATGAAAGAGGTGACGATCTTTCAAAGGAAAAGCCCGAGTTCAACAGAATGTCGGTTTGGCGTTGCGTACTTTGGCGTTGCGTACTTTGGCCTTGTGTACTTTGGCGTGGCAGCGTCGTAGCAACAGCTGGTTTGAAATGTTTATTTGACTCATCACACACTGAGTCATCACACAGACCGCAGACTGTATGTCAGGCAGCTTTTCGGTGCCAGCCTGACGGGTTGGACGACCCTCCATTATCCACGGGTTCTGTGACTTGAGTCTAAAAGTCAGTATGAGTGAGATTCAGTTTGAAATGAAAGAAAGAACTCATGGATCAATAAAAAGATTATCTCCAGAAAGTGTCTGATTTATCCTCATATTGACATACGATTCAAATTGAATGGATGGTTCACCTGCTCTGCCGTCTTCTTTAGACGCTGGAAAAACAAATTACTCGGGTCACGGCCTTTGAAAAAAGGATTGTGCGGACATGATGAGTGTATTGGAGCGCTCTGTGTCAGCCTCACATATTTTGATATGGCCATGCAACTCTTACACTTTCATGAGAAGGTATTTTCCACACCCTGCTGTTGGAGTCTTTATCCGTTCAGTTTGCCACTGCCAAAGCCTTTCCTTCTTTAGTGAGAACAAGCCATTTAGGAGAGGCGTCAAACTGTGCCATAGATGGTATATGAGGGTTAAAATATTTTCCCCTTTGCTGTATTCAAGCAGGTGTTAAGTTATCTGTGCATGCGAACTCAAGACATCTCAAGACAATCAGTTATCAAATGTATCGTGTGGTAAAAATTTCTAAAGTCTCATTAAGTTGATGTCAGCAGAGTTGTAACATACTCTTGTTGTGACATTCTCTATTTTTATTGGAGAGCCTCTGAGTTTTTCTCTGTCAGCTGCCCTTCGATTTAGTTAGATGTGATATTGTGCAATATTTTTTAAAAATCATTATTATTAGAATTGTCGTTAGGAGAGGTTTTATGATTTACATGTCTTTGCCAATGTGGGAAGATAAGAATGGACTTCCAGCCAGAGACTGAATGAAATGTGCAATATAGGAGAAGATTTTATGGGGAGTTTTCTTTGTGATGAATGAAAACTCAAATGGCTTTGTGTCTCTCTCCACAGCTGTCATCCAGATCATAGCTCTGATCATTTACCCCATCAAGTTCAACGAGCACATCTTCGAGGGCCAGTATTACTACACGTGGGCCTACGGGTTTGGATGGGGCGCCACCATACTCTGCCTGGGCTGCAGCCTCCTCTTCTGCTGTCTGCCACACTATGAGGATGAGCTGAATGGCGCCATTAAGGTCAATTACCTCTACACTTCTTCCTGAAGAGCAAACATGCTCACCTGTTCGATTATGTCCACTTCCACCTGCCACTGGCGGCTGGATCTGTGCTGACCATCTCTCTCTCTCTCTCTCTCTCTCTCTCTCTCTACCATTTCACCAAAGATCTCCAGTGGTGCAGCTCAGTTAAATTTGGCTTAGGAATGGGAGCACCCCTTTTTCTTTATTGTACCATCCCAGAGGGATGTGGACAGTAATTCCATGTTACACCAGCTTTATTTGACTTTAAAGTAACACTGTTAACATAAATCCTAACACTAAACATATTTCTAGGCGTATCTATACATATATTTTTTACTTTGTCACCCAAGTGTCCTTATAAGGAGGTGATTTGGTGTAAAGTTTAGCTTTCACCTGATTTGTCTCACAACCAAAATCTTACAAGATGAGCAATCCACTCTTGCATATTTGTACAGGATGCAAAACGAATGTTTATCGTGGATTTACTTCCTCCTGTGTGCTGTTGTTAGTTTTTCTCTGCTCTTCAAAGTGTTATTGATCACTTGCTAGGAATGAGGGAAGGGCTGGGTCTTAGAGGCAGAATGTAACCTACAGACAGAGATTTTAAAAATAGTTAATCAGCAGCTGTTTTTGCACCTTTTTTAATCGTTTTCTTATCCACTATTTGTCTGAAAGATTTTGTATGCTTATCATTACCAAAGGGGTGTAACTGGGAGGTAACCGTGTTGCATTTGTATATTTAGTGTAAACCTTTAAAAACGTACTCTTTAATGCAGTCACTTCTCTGTAAATTTAGCTGTGTTGTCTGAGTCAAATAGCTGATCAAACCACTGTCTTACCCAGACATTTTCTTTAGAGCTCTTTTTTTCCTCTATTTTCCAAACAAATCTGATTTTTTTTTAAATACCTTTAGCGAAGCAGTTTTTATCCAATAAATTAAAGTTAGCAATAAACTTGAAAATATGTCCTTTTCTTCCTTGAAAATGATGTCAGAATTGGTTGAAAGGGAACAATGTACACATGTTGGTTTATTCTGTTTTTAGTATCTTGTTATCTGGTACATGTAATATGTGTATTCACATATTTGACTTGAATTAAAGTTTGTCTTGTTTTTTTGTTTTTTTTAGTTACACAAAAATGACCAAACTTTTTTTCTAAAGTCTTTGAAATTCTGAAAATACCACCTTTAACATTGTTGATTCAAGACTATTTCAGCTAGAGTGCTCACTAATCAGTCTCTCTGTGTGTGAAATCTGTGCCTTAGCTACTTTGGTGTTTCAGTGTTTTGGTGTTGAATCTTAAAAGATTTATTATACCAGTTGGTCTTGTTTTAATGACCCGGGCTGCTTCTGTTCATGTCAAGACCAAATTCAAGCCCAAACAAGACAAACTTATTATGTCATAAGTGATTTCTGTTCCTCTTCTTTTTTAAAAGGGAAGTGAAAAAACGCAAAGATAACACCACTGATCAAAGCAAAGCTGCCAAAGTCAGTAACTCAACTTCTGCTTTTCTCATCTGAGTTGGACTTGCTTAATACATTTTATGATCTGGCAGAAATTCTAAATGCTATACTGTTCTGAGTATGTTTTCAACCCAAGCTTTTCGAATGATTAGACACAATATTGATATGTCTACATTGATATATATACTGTATAAAAGGAAGTTCTGATTGGAAATATCCCATCTATTTTTTCTGTCATGAATTATTTTTGGTAGTTTGTGTATTTTTATGCAATAAAGAGTTTGTTTGGAAGCGGTTAAGTTTTCTGGCTCTTTCACTGCGAACTTTAATGCTAAAAGGTGACACAGGAATACAAAACTGGTGGGAATTGGCTTAACGAATATGCAAATACCTGGAATGACCTGAAGTGAATCATACTAATGGGTTATTTTCTTTGGTACTGGGTTGGCCTCAAAATTCTCTTTAAAGATTACGTGTAACTTTCTGTCTTTTGAATACACACGCTTTCCCACACAGACAACAGCAGGCACAGGGAGGAACACATGTGAGTCATAAATCATGCCATACACAAACATTCAGAGCCACACCCTGAAACAAGCCTAAGTAAGACTTTGCTCAACATGTCCCGACGACTCTGGTTTCTCTGTTAAAGAGGTGGAGAGAAGCCAACACGCTGAAGAAAAGAGAGAAAATTCCATGGGGCGTAAACGTCTGTAAAAGCTGGCTGTAAAGGGAAAAACGGCACAACATGAGCTCTTCAGATTTTTTGGTTTGTAGTTTTAGTGATTTTTTTTGTTTTAGTTTTTATTGTTAAGAATTTTACTACTGAAAAACTGTAAAAATCAAATCATTTAAGGTTACTTTTGTAATAGTACTTTGAGTTATTTACTCCATTTTAAGATACTATACTACAAAGCATGGCTGCTTCTAACAGATAATAATATTCATTACTCATTAAAATATATTAAAAGAACTTGCTAGTTTTTACACTTCTGTTTTTTGAGGTCTTGCCCATGAATGACCAGCTTTGAATTCTTCCTCAGGGACACTCAACTCAAATGGACTCATTCAAATTACTGGGATGAAAAGAGTTTTATTTTGACCATTTAAGCTTGCAGACTGTCATACGAACACTTGAAGAGTCGAAACTGTGGCAGAAAAACTGGATCCAGCATCTGTATGTGTTTGAATAAGTTTTGCAGCTTATTCAAAATGAGCAATTTACTCTTTAAAGAGCAAAAATATGTCAAACAAACCACTTTACTTTAATGAAGTTGTTGATTGTAGACACTCTGGGACCTGATTCTGTATGTAATTTACATATTAATTTACAAAGCAAATACTCTCAAGCAGTATATTAGCTCCTCTGCAAGTTTTACAAATGTAGAATTACTCCAGATCCAGGTCAAAGTAACCCAAGAGAGTACACAACTCTGCCCTTTAGCTCCCCCTACATCTGTGGGATGTGACACCACTAGGTCAAATTAGATCTGCTTTTGAGCTCTGCACCTGAACAGACATACATGTTTGTCATGTAAAAGCAGCCATTCAGGTTCCATGAAATGCCCAAAACAAGTGAAGCATCTGCGGACAGCTGCAAGTCATACCTCTGCTTCAAGGCGCTGGAGGTCTGTTTCAGGCCATGTGGATCAGACAAGACAAGGCTTCATCTCACTGTCCAAAAACATTTATATTTGCTGTTTGTGATTTTTCTGAATTTAACTTCGGTGCGCTGAGAATTTTACAGTTAGCTGAGCTGACAAGACAACTTTTCCCCCTTTGTTAAAGGGAGAAAGTGGGTCAATTTTAAGTCTCACTGTTGTAGGCTTCCCTGTGGTGGATTGTCATGATGGAGAGACACAGGAGTTCACAATGTGCAACTCACCATGTGAAGAACACATTCAGTGTCTTTTCTTTCACACTGACAGATTAGAAAATAAAAATGTTTACACTTGTTAGGCCAAGAACATGACAATAGATGCAGAATGTCAAATTCAGATTAGCTAACTTGTACCAGAATGGATTATTGACCTTTTCTACAAAGGGAGTTGTCGTACAACGTGAAATTAAAACGCAAGTCATATAATGCTGTGAGATTTATTTTAAAAGAATGTCTTTAGAAAAAGAAATGTGGGGTGATTGTTTGAAATGAACACGCATCAACCCACACCCCTAGATGTGAAGACATTTACAAATTCAGTGATGAGTACAAAACTGAATCAGAAGTGTAGTCATCACGGCTTCATGCAATTCAACTGGGAGGGAGTCCCAGGTTTCCACCACACCTGTTTCAGTGTGATAACCAGGGGAGGATTAGACACTCAGTCTGTGACTTAAGGATTTGTTCAGTCAAACCTAATGAGTGAAAGTCACATTTTGATCTGTACATGATATTTGACATATGCAATATCTGAATATTATTTCACATCTAAGACCGTTTGCGTCACTATTTGGGAAAAACCCTTTTGTACACAATCTGACGGCCACGATATAGCAATGAGGAGAAGACTACACTACGATAATATGACCTATTGCACAGTAAAAAAGGGTAAATCTACAAAAAATACTATTATTCATTTTTCATAATTTTTTAAAGGGCCGAATAAAGACTTACAATTAGAGTATTTTCCTTATTTTTTCTTGTGTCAGGCTTGAAACGGTTAATATTGGAATTACATGTATGTTGCTGAAGGGCTTTCTACTTTAACTCCAATTTGAGAGTGTTTCAAGTGAAAATACTCAGTGCAATTCAACAAAACGATGAAGCTACTCAAACTGCTGTCTGCAATTGAACCAGATGGTTTAAATTCATCTGTGTTGTTACACAGATGCCACTAGATGTCAGGCTTGATCAGTCTTTTGGCTTCTCTGGCTTTTCCATGCCCCACTTTTTCAGCCCACCTTTTGCCTCCGGTGTACAGGTCAGCGTGAACTTTTGAATAAGCGGTGGCCCCAAAAAGGAGATGTGTGGCATTACTCTGGAAGTCAGCGTCAGCCTTTAACCCCCCCTACACAAAGCTGTGTCAAGAGATTTTTAGTGGGTGTTGGTTTCAATTTGCCTGTGAGGTGCTTTCCATCGCAATGAAGAACCATAAGAACATGGAGACGTTCCTGCTCACAGTTCTCCCCAGGGTTCTCCCCGCTGTTCTGCCACCTCATACCAGGATGGGGCCCCAAGGCTTTTAGGGCGCTGACGGAACGATCTGGGTTCAGATGTCACTCCGAGGGACTGGCCACACTGTCAGAACAGAAGAGATGTATGACTCTGGAATATGTATATATGTATGTATTACGAGCTAAACCTAAAATACCAGCAGGCTGCCATAAGTACAGCTAACACGTTTCTGTGCATCACAAACAAATTTCAGTTAAATCATTCTTTTTTGAGGTGAGGATAAAACTGTCCTGCTTGATAAAAATGTCAGACATGTTTTGAGTGTTTCAGTCTGAAAAACTTAGGAACAGGAAAGGCTGGAGTGGGACAGAAGAAAGGCTCTGTGAGCTTGATTAGCATGTTGAAAACGTTCAATGTGCAGCATGCATCTTGAACAAAGACGTGCACAAACGTTACAGACGCTATGGGAATGCATGATGATGTCACCTGTTTTCCCCTTTCTTTTTGTAAAAAGCTACGGTTATGATCGGTCAAAGTCCCTGTGACTCAGACTCCTCCTACAATATTTATACAAAACCCCCTAATATAAACAAGGGAAGGAAGAGCATGATATAATTTAGATAACTTTTTAAGGGACTTTCAAACAACCTAACAAAAGTTTAAGGGGATGGAGTCTAAACATGTTTTTTTTTCCAGATTGATAAATAATTCAGAAATACTGCCCAATAATAGAAGGGCATATTTAGTTTATAAACTATTCTCATGATTGCTCATCTTGACATTCTAGGAATCGTCAGTAACCCCTGAGTAAGATATTTTTAATCCTGTTTTCTATCAAACTGACAAAACACACAGTTATTATACATATTATTATACATACAAAACAGCAATGTCATTGTATAACTTCTGTACAGTATCTTTTTTTTTTTATTAGCGAAAAGTCTTTTGCATGAAGAAAGAGTTCAGGTTTTTTTTAAACTCCTCTCATCATATCTTATCCCACCCTGTACATTTATATGACATGTTAAACTTTACCAGCTGGTGATTTGGGGCAGTGCAGTGGGTCAGTTGTCTCCTCTGGGGGTTTCCGTGTGCTGGTGACTGTATTACTTTGTTTTCAAAGCTTCCATGAGCAGCTCATATATTGATCGTTCCATCCTGTGACTCAGCCTGCATGTGACCAAGTGAGGAACCTTTAAAAAAGTTTGGAAACTTTATTAGGTCTACTTAATAATAGACACAGAGCAGTATCATTCTATTGGTAGAGCCAAGTAAAATATTTTCATGACTGTTCAAATAATTATTGAATGAGGTTTTTGTTGGTAGTAAAGATAGTTATTAATTTTGGCTTACAGTGTGGGCTAAATGTCAAGTCTTAGCCAAAAGCGTTGAACTTCAAAAGGTTTTAAAAGGCTTACAAGGAGAGAATATTTTCAGAAATGCACGTCAGGTGATAATTAGTTTCAGTTCCCCAAGTAAGTAGGTAAGAAACTGATCTGTGGTTGGTGTTGGGGCAACACTAGACAGAAGTATAAGTGATTCCACAGGGAAGAGAAAAGGAAAATGGAAAGGGAAGAGTGAATCAGCACATTGGTGGGCAGGATAGAGTAACAAGCGGAGGAGATCCAGACATCTATTTGAAATTCAGTTGGATAAAAGGACAGGTTTAAGCTCTTTTTTTAATTTTCAGGTAAGTCTCCTTTACATGATATTAACCTAGAATATATTTTCGAAAAACCATAAATGAATTTCCTTTCAATATCATACGCTTATTATCAGTGATGAATTATCTGTTACTTTAAAAAAAAAAGGTTTGAAAAAAAATCGGTTTACATATTCTTTATCTGTATGTATATGTATTTGTTGATTCCATGTTTCTTCTTTTGGGAACATCTGCTGTTTTTCCCACAAGATAGGGATGCAGCTTAGGGTGATTGGACAAAACAGAAGGTCCCTAAAAATCATTTTTCTGTTTCTTGTGTACTTTTATTGAATATACTGTAAAAGTACTGTCCAGGATACTACCATGGATGACAAGAATCTCTACATGAAATGTACACCGACAGACAAAAACAAGGATGCATACTGTTGTACCATCACATGAAACAACAGCTTTGCAAATGTGAGGGCGCCTCCAAGCTGCTTTACTGCAGTAACCAAGTCGCTGCACCCTGCTGAAAACTGATAATAGTAGAGCTCACAAAACCACCCTAACCATCAGGTGCAGCCGGGGCGTGCAGTGTTTCAGGTTATTTGCCATGCAGACTGCAGGAGTGATAGAAGCTGCATGTTCCTCTGGATATCTGCAGGAAAATATCATTCCACGTCTCTTTGTGTTTATCTCTTTAAGTTTACCAAAGCCAACTTTTGTTATAAAGCCCCATGTGAGGGATAACTTCAATTAAGTATGCAGAGCTATTTAAACCTCAGATCGTTTTTTTTTATCTTGATTTTACACTGGGCCTGGATAAAAATTTCCCTTTGTGGTCTTACTGCCCCAAATTGTGACAGGGTCATTTTCGGCAGACGTTATTTGGTTTCATTTTAAGTTTAATTTGAAGGAAACTATGTTTGAAGGTTTTTTTTCTTCCTGTCAATTTGTATTGGTCTCAGTTCAAATGAAGTAAGATAAGTCTGCTCTTGAATGTGTTTTAAACAAGAAGATAATGAACCCACCCTAACTTGTGAAATTATAAATGAATGAATGCACGACTCAGCAGAGAGTCATCGTTTGCTACTGAGGTGTCTAATCCCTCCGAGCTCCAGAAATATACGTTTTCCTTGAAGTCAACGCAGTATCACATCATCATGGCAAGAGCTCTTTAAGCACACGAACACACACATACACACACACACAGATCCTACACGCAGGCAACAAGTCCGAGAGCCTGCTTCTCATTAAATTATTAGCTTTTTCTTTCGTTTTTTTTTTTGTTGAGTCATTCCCAGAGGCTGGTCCGATGGCAGGTTAATGATTTATTTCGGAGGATGTCTCATTAAATAGAATGTGACGCGACCCGTCTGTCTCCCTCAGAGACGCTTCTTTGTGCTCAGTAGGTGGGAAACGCTCCTCGGTATTGAGTCAGACAGCCGGAGGCCCCCTGGCGGTGGCGAGCCGCCACTACACTTGAAACAGAGAGGGAAATGGATGAACGGAAAGTCCCCGTGTGGAAATCCCCTGAGTTTTTTTCCCCCTTTTTTAAAAATAAGCGTTAGCGGACGTGTGTAGTCTTTTGAAAAAAGCTCCGCGAGCTGTGAGGGCTCTGAAACAGATCTGATACTGATGAAAAGAGGAGGTTGAATGGCGCCGAGAACCGCTGCGGTGAGGCTGAGTGAAGTGGCTGAGCGAGGACTAGCCTGAGCATCCGGGAGGCTTTGTTATTACCCCCCCGACATATTACACAGGTAAGACACCAGTCCTCCCACCTTGAGTCTCCCCATGTGGACGCCAGCTCTTGCCGGCCAGGTGAGACTCGGCGGGTTTGTCACGTTTGGGCCACGGGTAGCGTACGGTCGTGTTTCTGGGGACGCGAAGGTAGCGTGAAGCCTGCTCACGACAGTGGCTTTGACAGCCATTGTTTACAAAGACGTCACCCCCACCCCCCCCTCTTCCAGAGCGGAAAACAGGAGCGTTTAAACAGCCTAACGTAGCATTGTAGCCGCCGCGCGGCCTCGAAACCCGCGGCGTGCCACGCGAAAGGACGCTGCATTGTTCCGAAGGTAGTTGTCATTGGAATTACGTAAGCCTTTAACGTCAGCAAAGTCTGCCGTTATTGTGCTTTTTTTTTTGCGTGTAGCCAGTCAGCCAGCCAGCCTACGCCGGCGGCGGCGGCGTCCACCATTGTGCCCCAGCCTGTCTGCCTCCGCGAGCCAACCGGCTGTGGCAGCACAACACACCGACTGACCGACCGACCGACCGCTGGCCCGTCAGTGAGCGAGCTGCCAGACATCAGGTGTCCGTCGTCTGGTCCGTCCGGAAGTGACAGACTGGCCCTTTAGCGTGGCCTCGTCTTGTGGTTTGCACCTGCTGCTGTTTTGGTGGCAGAGGTGGTGGTGGTGGGGGGTTTTGGGGGGTGGTTAGCCGAAGCTGGAGTGCTCAGGTGTTTTGCTAACTTTTCACGGCATCCACTGACCGACTGGCAGCCGGAAGCTGGTCGGTATGGAAATGCTGATGGAAGGTTGAAAGTCAGCAAAACTCCAGGCTGACTTGCTGACTGTCACTTAAAAAAAAAAGAAAAAAACTTCCTGTGACCTAATGTGCTGGAGCTCTCTTCTATTTGTGTGAAACGTCCCTTTAAAACCTCATTATTGTCCAGTATTTAGTCTAGAAAATAGAAGGGCAGCTGTTGGGCTATCCAGAGGAACCTCTGTACAGACAACCTGATATCTTTATTGTTGCTCGTTTAGTTTGAACCAAAAGTTGAAACAGCTGCCGAGGTGTCTGAGGAGGCCTTGTGACATTCCCAGCCTCTCAGGAAAAGCTGGGTGGCCTGCAGTGAGGGTCCGGAAAACACCATTTTGTGTTCGGAAGGCTTTGAACTCAGTGGGACAGTGGGACACCCTGTTGGGGGAAACTCTCAAAACCATCAAGGCGAAAGGAAGAATTAGAAGAGCAAACACAAAAACAAAGCATTCTTTGTGTTCTTCATTTAATTTGGCCTGGCAGAATCTCCAATAAAAAAGCAACAAAAAAAAAGATCTTGTGTGATGGGTGGTTTCCCAAACAAACTGTAAATTAATTTGTGCCTTGAGTCTCAATTAACAAGGAAGGGGAATCTCCACCGAAAATTTCCCAGCAGTCTGTTCTGTTCTCCTGTGATCGGCTGCGAAAATAACAAACCTTCTCCTCTTCTCTCCGTCCAGTTTCCACGTTGTTCAGTCATCGCCGCTCAGTGCCTCCCTGTCCTCCTCGCTTCCTTCCAGTTTCCCAACCAGCCACTCGCCATGTCGCAAGGCCAGAACTTCCTCCCAAAATTCCTGTTTGTCTCCAACCTGCTTAAAGCAGTGAAGATCCGCCAGCGAGTGCCCAACGACGTGGTGAAGCCTAACACCAGCGGCGGCCTTATGCACCACCTTCGGGGAATGCACCGCTACACGCTGGAGATGATTGCCATGAACCACTTCCCCCAGGCCTTCAGGGAGGTAGTGCAAGCTGCCATCTTGGACCGAGCCATGCAGGCCTCATTAGAGCAAGAGAAGAAGCTCAACTGGTGTCGAGAGTTGAAGAAGATGGTGCCATTACGCACCAATGGTAAGAAACACTCAACTGATGAGAAAGAGCAGTTTCCTTTCCTTTTTAGTGAAGTTCCATGAAGTTTGGGGTATTTTGTTTTTCAAAACCATTTCAACACAGACCTTCATTTGTAGTTTAGTTGTTGCGTTTTAGTGCTGAATTTAAGGAAATGCTGTCAAAGCAGAAGCTGAACAGCTCAGCAGATCGGCCTTCACGAACAATGTAAAACTTTTTGTGCTCAATTTTAGTAACTGTAGTCATATTGTGTCCCACAGAGGATGTGCGTTCCCTTTGTTTCATTTTCTATGACAGAAAAGGTGTGTGTGTTTACGAGTCCGGGTATTTGCTATGTTAATTCTGAGATGTCATTACTCACTGGCAGAATTACTGTAAGTGACAACGATCGAGGTGAATGGGTTCCGCTTTCATATAGACTCATTTAGCAGCCCCGCTGGTTTTCGCTGTGGAGTTCAGGCGGGCGCATTGTCATGTTTTCTATTACGTGGATGTTATAACCCCGGGAACATCCCAGAGTAGGTACACATTCACGCAGAGGTCTGAGCTCTGCTTCTGATCATAGCTCTGTAGTGGGAAATTCTTGTTTACTGTCAGTGATGCTTCAGACCCGAGTGTTTCCACAATTTTTCCTCTTTTTCACGTCGACAACTTCAGTGGTTTGCCGCCATCTTTTTTTTTCTGTAGGCGTGTGTGTATGTTAGGAGTGTAAATGTCAGTAATGAAATGAAGCCGAGCGTTCAGCCATATGCTGAACTGAGGGGTCGGCGCCTCTGTCTCTGTGAGAGTCATTAGGCCTTTTTCCGGCAAATGCTACAGAGTCCAGTGGTGTCTCGGGGTCAGTGGTGGGCCTTTTGGCTTTATTTCAGTCACACAGCTGCTCTGTACATCACATCTATTTAAGGGGGGGGAAGCAGTCTTTGAAAAAGGGAATCATCAGCTTTAGCATTCATAGCTGTAGAGGGAACTGGAAATAAATTAGCATTGAAAATTTTTAAACACGTGACTCCTCAGCATTAAATTTACTTGTGAGAAATTCCGACATCAACGTCATATCAAAATTTTCTTTGAAGTATTACTGGATGGAATAGTAACTTACTGGATTTTTTTTTTGTTATGTCCTAAGGGTCTCTTACAAATTGTGATGTTAGTAATAAGTAAATGAGTCACTGTAACTCTCACCAGTGCATAGTTCCTCTTCTGAAAGACCCCAGAAATAATGGCCCATTCAGTTCACTTCCACTACCAGTAACCGACATGGAATTTCCTGGATGGTGTTGATGACGTCATAAAGATGAGACAGAATGTAGAGCCAGATCGAGCAAGTCTGAAGGACCCAGACGTGACTTTCAGCAGAGGATGGACAACACACACACACACACACACACACACAGGACTGACTGACTGCTGCTGAGTCACTGGAGCTCAGCAGGCTCACCCAGACAGATAATGTGAGGGACAAGAACTCCATCAGAGAACATCCAACATCCTCCAGACCTTAAATTTGCTCCCATTCTCTGTTTGGGTGATGATTCAAATGATTCAAACCTCCAAATTATCAAATCTAAGAAAAAGAATTGGCCATCATAAAAAGCTATAAAATATATATATAAACAGTCACAAAAAAAAAATAGCAAGGGCACATCCGTTTCCTGTTTCCCACCCGACAAAGTAATGCGTCATTAGAATTTTATCGGGTCTTCTCTCTTGAATGTCTAGTACGCATCAGAGGGTTTTTCCCAAACAGCATCCCATGTCTGTCATGTGTCCCTATCACGCAGGATTGGTTCAGCTACAATACACTCCACATACTGTAAGAGCAGAGACTCCACACACACTACATTGTTGCATCTTTTAAGATTTGTGCCACAACATTTTGGCATGAAATGCTCCACTTTTTTGCGCCTCACAGTTTGACCAGTCTGACTCAACAAAAGAGGTGGAGGCTATCACCTGGATGTCAGCAGATTGAGTTCAGGTCTTGTTCTGCACTGGGGTGTTTTCAGACAGGGCCTCAGCTTGTCTCTGAGAAAGGGGCCTATATTTAGACCTCATTTCCAGTCAAAATGTTTTAATCAAGAGGAAGTGAACCTGCACGCGGACGTTTGAGCCAGTTTGCATACATCTTTCTGTGTGACTGTTTCTCTGCTGAGGATGCCTTTTATTGCCAGCGAGCAGAGCACTTGATTTAAAAAAAAAAAAAAAATTATTGAGTGATGCAAGAGCACCGAAATGCAACAACAGCTTGCTGGCCTGAAATAGAAGTGGATTTTTTTCCCTTCAAGTAAAGTGGGATGCTCCTTCAGTAGAGTGAAAACAAGTGTATCTCACATTACAGTCATCTCACAACACAGAAAAATGTATTTTGAGAAATCCGATCACAGCTTGGCCTGCGGCACTCTTATCTCAAACACATTTTTAGGATCTCTAATAACTACTTTGTATTTATATTTTTTATCTCGAGTCTTGCAACATTTTCTTTTTTTTAATCATTACTTTATTACGTTGCAGAAAAAACTGCATGTTTTAGGTGAGCTTCCCCTGAAGAAGAATACCAACTTTACAGATCAAAGTGCTTATAGTTCTCCTTTGTGTTTGTACTTGTTAGGGCACATGCTATCTAAATACACATTAATCTTAACCTTTATCAGCTGATGATAGCAGTACTTAAAACGTTTACATTCCATAAGGTCCAAGTCACGCCTCTGGAAAGTACAGGACCAGCTGAGTAGCATTGATGAGCTGGGATTAAAGGAGGAGATCACACTCACGCTCAAACACACACACGAATAGCAGAAGTTACAACAGGGAAATTCCTGTGTTTAGTGTGACAACAGGGTTTTTCAGAGCTGCACACATTGACAAATGTGGGCTATCCTGTTTCACAATGAGAAAAACACCCAGTACCACCAAAGGACACACAATAGAATTCCAATAGAATTAGCTGTTTATGCACAACCACAGAGCTAAACAGCTAACTCTTTAATTCACTGGGAAGTTGGTTGAATGTAAAAGTTCTTTCTTTAATATAAAATAGGAAGGGATTGTGGTCAAAAATGTTAAAAATGTATTTTTTTTCTTGTAAAGTTTTCCTATGTGAAGACAAAGCCTTGCCTGTGGTGTGTGTGAACTTTAAAACATATGAGGGTCATTTAATAATCCACAAATCAGATGGTGTGACAGTTGGCCTGACAGGCTGGAAATCCCCAGACTTTAGTTTACACTTGAGTGTGCGCACACAGCAACTGTCCGCTGCGTGTGCTGCGTTCACAGGGCGTTTGCATGTGCACGCGCCCAGGCATAACTTTTGGACTTTGTATCCCATGTACAGTGTTAAAGCTCTGAAACGCTTGTCTCCTGTGTGTGTGTGTCTACAGGAGACGGGAACTGTTTGCTCCATGCAGCCTCTCAGTACATGCTTGGCGTTCAGGATACAGACCTGGTGCTCCGGAAAGCTCTTCACGGTGTTCTGAAAGAGACAGACACTGGAGTGTTTAAGGCCCGCTTCCAGGCAGAGCTGCTGCAGTCGCAGGAGTTCACCCAGACCGGACTCCGTTACACCACCACGGTACGAAGACGGGTCCAATCCACCTCGAAATTCTTTTTAAAAGGGTTTATTTCTTCATGTTTTAACTATTTGCTCGTGCACTTTCCCAGAACTGGGAGGAAGAGTGGGACAAGATTGTAAAAATGGCATCTCCAGTCTCCAGTAGCAACGGCCTCCAATTTGACTCTCTGGAGGACATTCACATCTTCGTCCTGTCCAACATCCTCCGCAGACCCATCATTGTCATCGCAGGTACTTTTTAAAAAGTCACGTTTAACCTCCTTTTTCCTGGAGAAATGTAAAAGTCAGTCCTGAAGGGTTGGCCAGACATTTGATGTCTTTCACTTCTCTTTCAGTCCTCTCAAATGTTGGTCAATTTGAGTTGATTCAGGAATGTGCTAACTTGTGTAATGTGCTCTCCAATAACGCAGAAGTTGGCCGCGGTCAGTGCTTTTTTTTCAGCTAAAAATAACTAAAATGTTTTTTGTTTTTTTTCAACAGATCAGGTGGTTAGGAGTATGAAATCGGGCTCCTCGATCTCTCCCCTGAATGTGGGTGGGATTTATCTGCCTCTACACTGGCCGCCTACAGAGTGCTACAAATACCCGATAGTGCTCGGCTATGACTCTCAGCACTTTGCACCCCTCATCACAATCAAAGACAGTGGTCCAGGTAGGAGACGTAGAGAGGCAGACTGCATGCAGCTAATGTGGTAAGCTCATCGTTTTGTGTCCATTTCACTGACTGACTTTTTTTTTCTCTTTCCTAGAAATCAGAGCGGTGCCTCTGATAAACCCACGACGAGTGGGCTTTGAGGAGCTGAAGGTTCACTTCCTGATGGAGAAGGAGCAGCAGCAGAAAGAGCGACTTCTTAATGACTACCTGCAACTGATTGAGATCCCTGTCATAGGCCTGGGCCACGACGCAACGTGGATCATGAAAGCTGCACGGTACTGACAGTTTTTAAACCCCCCGTATTGACAGCACAAAGGAGAAAAAGTAGAGACTCGATGTCTTATTGTAGTTGCTGCACTCACTAAGTTTCCCTCAGTGGAACCAAAGATTGAGGAATTTTTCTAAGATCACAGTTTAAGCTCCTGAAACTTCATCATCACTTATAACCATGATGTTGACTTTACACAACATTACACAAAGTTCAGTTAATATAATTTACACGTTGTGTGTCTCTGCACTAAGACTGGATGAGGGCAACCTCCCTGAAGACATGAACCTGATGGAGGACTACCTGCAGCTGGTCAACCACGAGTACCAACGCTGGCAGGAGGACAAGGAGCAGGCGTGGGCTGCCCAGCCTCAGCGCCCGCCACCCTTCTCCGTCTCCCAGCTCTCCCTCATCGAGATCCGCTGTGCCACCCCCCGCTGCACCTTCTACGTCTCCGTGGACACGCAGCCTCATTGCCACGAATGCTTTGAGAAGCGCCAAGCCACCACCGGCGGAGGAGCGAGGATAGAGGGTGTGGTCCAAACCAAGGGAGTGGGTGTGCAGGGTGGAGTGGGAGTGATTGGCGGATCGGAGACTGAGGTGAGCTCCAGAGGAGCCCGAAGCAGCAGCCCCCCGTGCTCTTCCTCCGGGAGAGGGGTGGTGTTATCCAGCCCTCGCTCTGCTCCACCCACCGCGCCCAGCCTCAGCCTATACAGTGAAACCCATGCCATGAAGTGCAAGACACCCGGCTGCCTCTTCACGCTAAGCGTGGAACACGACGGACTTTGCGAGCGCTGCTTCAACTCGAGGCAGAACCACGGACCCCCCGCAGCGGGAACAACTACTGCGGGACCTCCAGGCCCCAATGGGGGGCCTGTGGTTCCCCACCCGGCCCAGGGCTCTGGCCGGACCCAGTGGGGCGGCTGTGAAACTGAGACGGAGCGCTGCAGCATGTGCAGGCAGGAGGCGTTCAGGATATTCAATGGCCTGTGCCCACCCTGCATGCAGAGGCAGCAGGCTCCAGAGAGGAGCGAGCCCCAGCAGAGCAACCCCAGGACTGAAGCCTCGTCCTCTGCATGGAGCCAGGCCAGAGACACTGAGCGGCCCTGCCTCACGCTAACCCCAGGGCACACGTCGGCCTGGCAGACCCCTCTGGCCCGGCTTTGTAAAAGATCCGGCTGCCAGTTCTTTGGGACACCGGAGAAGTTGGGTTTCTGCACTATTTGCTATGTAGACTATCAGACCAACCACCGTAAGTTCAAGACAAAGCTTCTATCATATTTCACTGTTAGTCAGACATGGAAAATATCATTCTGCCTTAATATGCTCCAAGCTGAATACCGAGGTATATTGATCGTGTTGGCCGCCATTTGTTCCAGACCTGACTCCGCCCCCTGCCCCAGTCCAGAGCCGGCATGGTTTGGAAACAGGCTTCCAAAATGCCACACGGTGTCGCGGGCCTGGTTGTGGCGCCGTCGGTAAGGCCATGCTGGAGGGCTACTGTGACAAGTGCTACGTCAAAGAGCAAAGCGCACGGCTCAACCAAGTGGCACATCGCACACCACACTCCCCTCCGCTGGTCATGGTAGGTTCCTCACTTAGGCCTCATCTTTCATCCATCTGTGTTCTTTGCTGCTCATCTTCCTCAGTAGCCAACTGACAGTTCTCCTCTTCCCCTTCCCTCTCTGTCCTCAAAGCGTGACCGAGCAGCCAAACCCAGATCCTCGCAACAATCCCAGACCCAGACCCAGACCCAGACCCAGTGCCGGCGGAGCGGCTGCAGTAACGTGTCCCCGGGTTGCACAGATCTCTGTCCGGAGTGTCACACGCGTGGCCAGGGCAGAGAGGGAGGGAGGCGGGCGCAGGCGCCCAAGGAGAAGTCGAAGCAGCGGTGCCGGACGCAGGGCTGCGACCACTACGCCAATCAAGAGAAACAGGGCTACTGCAACGAGTGCGACCACTTCAAACAGATCTACCGTGGCTGACTGCCCGCGCACCTCCGCACACGACCAAGATGACGACACATAGCTAGCACGCTAGAGCCGCCGCCCTGCCGTGGGCACCTCATGCCAGTCAATGCACCTCTGATACTAACTAACCAACTAACTAACTAGCTAGTGACTAACTAGTAACCTTATGGCCTGAAAATCAACCCACCCCCCAACCCCCCCCACCCCCATGTAGAATGTGAAGAGAGAGTGTGTGTACTTCGGGGGGTGGTAAGTGTGTGTGTGTGTGTGTTCGCAGTAGACATGGCCTCCAGAATACCTCTTTGTGCAATTACTATCATCTGATTTGCCGTGTGCTCCCACACGGTGAGAGGTTTGGCTACACGTCAGAGCAACTGACTTAAGTCTTGTGTACAATATGTATTTAGAGGTACGTAGTGAACCGTGCCGGACAAAATGATTGTATGTTGACATAACAAGAAGCATCTGACATTGCTTTCTAGATCACAGCCAAGGATTTACACCCCTGTTTGTCTGTCTGTTCGTCTGTCTTAACCCACTCGTGTACCCGTCTGCCTGTCTGTCTAGCATTTGCTCTCCTGAGTGAGGGCAGCGGTAGTTGGAAAATCCATGGAAGTAGAAAGCAGAAGTGAGACTAACTGGGCCAAAGCAAATCATGCCAAGTGCTTGAAATGAAGTTAAATGATATTTTGCCACCGTTCAGCTTAGTTCTGAAATTGGTCATACATGTCCCCTCTAATTTAAGAGGCTCTCGCCAAAATATTGAAAAATCAATGTCGTGAAATGCTAAAAAAAAAAGTGTTTTCTTCCATTCGTCAACATCAGCGTAACTTTCTGTTTTCTGGCTAATCATCTAGAGTATAGTCACTTTTCTAAGGTCGTCATCAATGGCTTGATATGGAAAGTGAAAGCCAACCACTTGTCTAAAATGGTGCAAGACAGACAGGGCAGGTCCCTGCTAGTTTTGGTGCTACATGTACAGAAACACAAGCCTCTCCATTGTAGCTAAAGCGCTGGAGTCAGCGGCCAGAAGGCAGAACGCGGTAGACAGGACTCGCCCTCTTTCATTTCCTCCCATCCGTCCTCTTATATTTCGCCTTTTCTCCAAAACAGATCTGTTGCCTTGGACATTGTTTTCATGTTTACTTACTACTTAAGCACCTAGAAACGCATATGAGACATGCGCATGCGTACCTGCACACGCACACAAACACGTAGTTTCGCCCGAGGTGGGTCGGCAACAGCAGACGAGTCAGTCTAGACGGTTGTCCTCCTCACCGCCACAGACACACACACACACATATGCATCCATTCGAATGCAGAACTGCTCTGTGAGATTGTACGTCCCCACCGAAGCCTGAAGTGATGTGTCGGTCAACAGACTCTTAAAGAGATTCACTCCTCTCTGTACCACGCCACTAGATTTGCCAGGGTTTCAGAGCTTCAGAGAGCAATCCCATTGCCTGCTTTGGCCAATCTTGTTTATCTGAATGTGTTTTGTGTTGTTTCTACAGCAGCACAGTATTGGGGCTGATCCTCGATAAGTTTTGCCTTTAAGTAGTAATGACATTTTATAGACCAGAGGAGCCTGATCAGTGGTTGTAGATCAGGGTTCCCACCTTTAAAATGCTTTTGTGAGTATGGATTTTGATCCATATTATAGGACCTTCAAACCCGATGCCTCATCTTCAACATACACACACAACACACGCATGTGTGCTTCTGGAAAACACAAAAAACTGACATTCCTGTTCCTCTATTGTTTAGAATTTTTTTTAATGTATTTTGATATATTTGATTTTGTTCTGCCAAAAGACAAAAAAAAAAGAAGAAAAAACAAACAAACATGTGCCATCAATTGCCAAACAGTTGTTGTTACCTCCTTAAAATGGCCAGCCTGGGTTATTCTAGACTTGGAAAGAAGGCCACAGATAGACATCTTCAGTTCGGGTAGCCAGAGCTTCATCGAAATCCCCAAGTGGAAACTATCTCTCGTGCTGGTTTTCAGATTTGAAGAGGTGTTCATCTGACGGGATAACCTCGACCCTGTCAGAGTAAATCGGACAAAATGAAACGTGACAACAGCCGCAGCAGTTGCTGCCCCCTGACCTCTGCTGGACACGGCTGCAGATGTCCGTCTGTGGCCCTAGTCAGAACTAACAAACAGGCTCTCCGTCTGCCTTTTCATTCAACTGTACCTGAAGCTGTCAGGCCAGCCCACACGCTGACGGCCTGCGCGTAGATTTGTGTGCTTTAATCACCTCTAGACGAACCTTAATCAATTAAAGGCCAATTAGTGGTCAGCTCGTCGGGACCCCTTTGGGGCTCCGACTGAGTTTGACCGGGAGGAGGTCATCTAAGTTGCACATGACTTGTCTAAAGCTGCTGAGGCATTTAGGAATGGTACTCTGACTTGTGGAGGGACATTCCGGCTGTTGGAAGAGCATTGGCTTAAGAATCGAAAGTGCAACAAAACATGCAAATGGTGTGGAAGTTTCTTTTGACAATAAGGTATTGTATGAAAAAAAAACCTGGTTTTATTTGTTAAGTATTTATTCATATCGAGATATCTGTATTGTGTGATTCAATAATTATTTATGTCGTCCTGAAATGAATTATTTTTATTAAGAAAACCTGACTGATGTGGTTCTTGACTCGAGTGTGTGTGTGTGTGTGTGTGAGTGTGTGTGTGTGCTTGTGTTGCTGCCGAAGACATCAGCCGACAGATTACTGAGGCCCGGTTTTGCTGTTGCACAGTGCACCATTTACCCAAATGCTTATCTGGGTTAGCGCTTCATTCCTCCCACCGCCTCTGTAGTTTGCTTCTTTTTGGCATTGTTGCATATTTCCAGAGAGAGAGAAAAAAGAAGTTCAAATGAGTTTTTTGCTCAAGTGTTTGCTTTTGACAGCCTCTTTTTCAGTTGTTTCTAGGCTATTGTAAGGGTGTCATGTGTTCATAATGGTAATGACAGAAAGGGAGCCCCCACCCTCACATAAAAAGCACAGTGCTCATTAGGGGGGAGTGGATGATTCGGTGGGAGGGGGGAATTCGGAGTGAGGGGAGATGTGGCAGTTACAGGTGGGGAGCGGCTTAAACAGGCTACAGCAGTGACATTTAGTACACGTGGGATACGCAAGGTTGTGCGTGGGTTCCAGATGGAGGGTTAATGCGGTTTCCTGGAAATACCCCTGCATGCAAATATAACTTTTGATAAGAAGACACCGCGTTTTAAAGAGGAGGCAGCTTCAAAAACGTGTCTTTAACAGAAGCCGACAGAGTAAAGTCACGCAACGCAGTAGAAATGAGTCTGAGGATCTTTGTAAATTAACATAGAGCCCAGTAAAATATGTGTCTAAAAATGTGTCTTTAAAGACCATTAGATCAAATCTTTACTTAGATGACTTTGACACTATTGTCTGATTACATTAAAAGGTAATCGAAATTATAGCAATATTTGATACATTTTGAACTCTCATTGCTAAAACGTTCTTAAAAAATTGTTGAAATAAGTTTTGAAATAAGATTATGGGACAGCTTAGTTCACTAAGTCATCGAAACTTCTTCATTTTAAGAGACAATCTTTATCGTTTTATTATAACATTTATAGACATGCAGTAGCTGCCATGGTCAGAGAAAATAGTTTAGAAATTAGTTTTAGAATGTATCTTGAGGGAAGATACTCCATTAAAAAATACTGTAGCATACTATTATAAGGAAAAATATGGCCTTTACCTTAACTATGAAGAACAAAAAAACTAAAATCCAGTGATCCCTTTATATTTTGAAAGTGCTTGTGGGTATTTAAATTATTGTTTTGCACCTGGCTCATACAGATCAGCAGAGTAACATGTTGCAGCTTCTGTCAGATGAAAGTAAGAAGCAAAACTCGACATTCAAGCTAAAAAAACGATTACAAAATGGGTGTGATAATATCAATTTGTTCTTCTATGAAATGTTTCATACTGGCTTTGCCAGATGTTAATCTACCCTTGGCCCAAAAAATACTGAATGCTCAAATACTGAATCGCAATCATGCATGACGTGGAAAATCTTTTTCCATCTTTGCACAATTTTGAGACAGACGACTGCGCCAGGCGCCAACGGCAAACCATGAATGAAAATTACAACACTAAGTATTTTTTAATTAATGAATCAATCCCCCAAATACTGACTCACTCATTCTTCTGTAAAAAAGTTAAATGTCGCAAAAAGCAAAAGTACAGCTGTGGCTCATGCAACAGGAAGTCATCTGTTGTTGTGCAATAGGAAGTGGGTGTATCCATGGTTACTTTTGTCTGAGTGTTTTGTAAGCAGGTAACACCAGATATTCCCTTAACTGAACATCAATGCACCCAGAATCGTCATGATTCTGTAACTGTCCCCTGAATCCCCACAAAAAACCCAAATTGAGTGTCATTTTTTCCTAAGAGTATTAGAAATTTTTACATTGAGGTCGTAGATGATGATACATAAGGACATCAAATCCTCTTATTTCATATTTTTATTACAGATATAGAAATTGTTATTAAAACATATAAACATACATTAGGCATGTATTACAAAATTTTCCATCTATTACAACTATTCCCATCTAAAACATGTCTTTCAAAGGTAAATTTATCACTCAACATTTGATATGCCAAATCTAGAGTTATTGGAAATGCTAGATTACAATAAACCCATGTTTGAATTGTGATATTTTGTTTGGATTTAATCTAAAAAAACAACAGCCTTAATGTTGGATTTTTGTTGATTAATAATATTTTCTCCGTTGTTAAAGAAAGATGATTTTGTTTAGTGTTTATTAATGAAAAACAATGAGGATATACTACTACTAATACCAAGAATTTATGACAATTTAAATCCATACATGTTCTCCAGGTAATCTCTTTAGGAAATGGTTTGGTTTGCCTGGTGCACCGACTCCTTAGATGTGTCTTATATAAACATGTATGTAAGAAAAACGGGTGTTGCATAAAGAATTTACTTTTCATGTCCACTCTATGCAGGTCAAAGTAAAAAAAATCAACTATTTCACAGGTGAAACGTAGAGTTTTCTAAGGATTTCAAGAAGCAATAACCATTTTTCTGGACAGTGTGTAGCTGTGTGCATGTAGGCTACACGTGGAGAAGCTGTAGGGTGAGTCACTGTCAGATGAGCCGACTGGGGAACCGAAAGTGATGCTATGCAGCAGAACACGGTGAACTGTACAGCAGGTCATTCACTTTATGGTGTGTTTTTCCAGCCTCTGCTGCAAGTCACAAAGTGCCCATGATTGATGTGTGTCAAATCTGGAGGAAGATTTCTGCTCTTGCAGCTGCAACAGTCATTTTCAACCACAAAGGGTCAAGAATGTAAAACACTCATCTAGATGTTCTTTTTGGATTCTTTGAAGACCTCATCTTACTTTAACTGGCTCAGATGATGAGCTCAGGATTTGCCTCTGGAGACCAGGTCCATGGACAGGCAAAAACCTCATACACATGCACAGTTCTTTTGGAAATTATGTAAATTTGACACCTCAAACCCACAGTGTTATCAACCAGATGATAATCACAATGATAATCACAATGCACAATTCATTTCAAAAGAAAAACAACCCACATTTAAAAAAGGTGGTGTTTCTGATGTAATAGACATTAAATCAATGCAATGACTGCTAGATTTTTCAACCAAACTGCATACTTACCGTGCACACATCATCTAAAGTATATAACAGCACTTATTTCATGATGTGAAGGTGTAGTAGACTATCTTTGAGCAGGTCAGCCCAACAAACCGCAAGTTACGCCCCCAAACGATAACTACAACCTGCCATCGGCCTTAGTTTACGGAAGTGGAAACGTCGGCATGTGGTGGCCTCGATTAGAACTCCAGGTAAACCGTAGAACCCTGAGAAGGGCGGTGCGGCCGGCTCAGATCAGGACATGACACCGCCCGCGGAGCGAGATGGTAAAATAAAACGAACGCCACCCTCTTGATGACCGTTATGACGCGCCACACATGATGGCTGTCGTTGTGTTTGTTGTACATAGCCGAACGTGTTTCGTGAGCTTCTCAGGGTGATTTAACAGGGTTGTTTTATTCAAATGATACTGGATTCAGATGAAGAGGAGACGAAGCATCCGGGCGCGAAGCAAGGGGAGCTGAGGCGTGAGTTAACCCCTTAATATGCTACATTTGCTAACTTGGTTCTGTGTTGATTTGCTAAAAAAAATAAGCGTTTAATGGTCCCCCATCATCCAGTTTGAGTAATTTCTCCCCAGCTGGGTGTTCAAAATGCATGATTAGCCAGCCAGTGTTGTTTCTGATGAGCCTGAGTTGACAGGAATTACAGAGGCATCTGTTGCCCGTTTTGTATCGATGGGAGTAGCATTTTAAATTCAGATATACACGTAATAAGAAGAGATATTGATGCTTTTTGTTTATTTTCCTTTTGTGATATTAAATCTTACACGACTAAATTTACCTTTTAGAACCAGTTTTTTTTTAACCTGAACCTGAACCCCCATATCATTCAGAATGATCCAAGTTGTTGTAATGTTGATATTATAATTTCCCTGTTCCATTTTTTTCTTTTAGCACAGAAACAAAGAGCTCTGTATCAGTAACTGCTGTGTGTGTGCTTTAACTTCAGAACGGGCCGGCCCGGGGCAGATGAACCCGGATGAGGAGGGTGAGGGACGCACCGCTGGCGGCTTCTTTGCGGCGGGGGCTGAGGAGGACAGTGCTGCGTGGAGCCATAAGACTCAGAGCGAAGCAGGTGACCCAAAGTTATTCATGAGGTGGCCTTTGTCCTGGTGCACAGCCTCTATATATGGCACACTGCAGAACACTGTGCACAGACCGCACATGAAGTTTCAATGAGATGATTTTTGAGCTCGCGTGTGTCTTTTTGTGTTTTAGTTAATCAGCTGAAGAGCCTTTTGTTGAAGCAGCGCAGAGAGATGCCCACTCCTCTCTCTCCGTTAGAGAATCGATCTCCATCTAGGGTAACGCATGCACCTCTGTGCACATTTCATTATTAGATATGTATAAAGCTTATTACCAATTTCGATATGACACATTATTCATAATTACATTTTCTTAAATGATATTTGTACCTTACAGGCTGTGTAACTTCCTCTTTCCTTGTTAGAGAGTGCAGCAGGAGGGCAGGTCCGGTTTGCCGACCTTTCAGGATTTGGTCCCAATGGTTCACAACCAGTCAGAGTATATTCAACACCTGGAGGCAGAGGTCAAGTTCTGCAAGGTTTGTACACAGATGTATTTGCTTTTGCTCTTTTCCCCACACTGTTACTGCTGTACACATTTTTGTTGATCTTCTCTGTTGGTGTCCCTTTCAGGAAGAGCTGCAGGGACTGAAACAGCGGATCACAGTCGTGGTGGTAGAAAATGAGAAACTGCATTCTGAGCTCAAGTCAAAAGCTGTGAATGAATCCCTGAAAGATAAAACAGACTTAAACTCCACAGTAAGCTGCTCGCCTTTGTCCTGAATTTTGGTACATGTACAGTTTCATCGTAGTTATATGAATGATATGTACCAGGGAAAGTCAGCTTTGTCACTGAAGTCTCTGAACTCCATACTCTTTGCAATAAGGTGAAAAGATTGGTTCTGTAAGCATGAAGTGTCCATTTTTTGGTGTGAATAACTGAAGTTTGGGATGTCCCTCGTATGGTACAAGATAATGATCACCAATATTTGACTCTGATGGTATCTTCAGGTGGATGATGTAGGGCTGAATACAAGACACAGCATCCTGCAGAAGACAGAACATTATTCATGGAAGAAGGAATTGGTAAGGATGAAACTATGTTTTTTTTGTGTTTTTTTCCCACCTATGGTCCCATTTTCTCTCTCCATTAAAGGATTTACGGCATATAATACATATTCAAAGAAATGCCTGAATAGTAAGGGATACTTCATTGTTAGATATGCAGCATTATTGAAATCCTTTAGAATAAATACAACCTTCATTAGAAGATTTGATTTGATTTACACGAAAGTAACGTTTTTGTGTTTTTCTAACTTAAAAAGTGAGACTAATATCGAGAGATACTACATACCCTGTTACATTTAGTTGTCCATGTTGCATCACAAAGCTTTTAAAAAGATTTGCAGCAATATTTACTTCTGCTTCATCTGTGGACAATTAAGAAAAGACAAAGGTTTTTAAGCTGTGTGCAATGTTCAGTTTTGCCCTAGATGTGTCCATATCCTATACAGGGTTTCTTTAAAATAATCTCAGATTTGATTTCTAACTTGTTTTTTGTGCATTTCTTACCTTTTAATTGACCCCATTCAAAATAAATCTGAACCTCATCCCATTTCCATTCATGATGATGCTTCATGTCTCATATATTACATTATAACCTTTTCTTCATCAGGACCAGTTGAAGGGGATCTACCAGGCCCAAATTGAAAGTTTGGAGGCTCAGATCATCTCTCTCAGGTCAGTGTGACACTCTTAACTATAACTAGAAAGGAAATGAATGGCGTCAGGAGACCATTACTTGTCATGATTTCTCTATTTACCCTTCTGATATTAATTTATTTTGCTTTTGTCAACAGAAAAGATCTGTCAGTGAGCCAGAAGGAGTGTGAGGAGGTGAAGGTCCGTCTGAGACACAGGGAGAAGCAGGCTGCAGATGCTCAGAGGGCTGATGGAGCTCCTCGTGTGGCCGGCTTGTGTGTGAAGTGCGCACAGCATGAAGCTGTGCTGGCTGGCACTCACACAAACTTGCATGTCCAAGCTATTGACAGGCTCACAAAGTAAGTATCGACTCACAAATATAGTCTGGATTAGACTCCACAAGTTGAGTGACAGGTGCTGCATTTGGTTCTCTGTTCGATTAACAGGGAGCGGGATGAATTATTGGTGGCTCTGCGAGCGGTGAGAGCAAGTCAGCAGGAGGCACAGCAGAGAGAGTGGTCAGCCTGCCTCCAGGTCAAACAGGCTGTGGAAATGGCGGAGGAAGCAAATTTCAGTAAAGCCAGGGTCAGAGCAGCCTATGGGCTTCATTTTCCAGATGTCTTAACTCATACAGCACACTCGTACTGATTGTCCTGGTATATTATTAGCTGCCTGCTAAGATTGTTTTCCGCTCCTACCGTATCCAGTGACCCATTTGTGTCCGTATGCGTGCAGGTGGAGGTGCAGTGTGAGCAGTTATCCAGAGAGCTGGCACGACTGAGAGAGCAGCTGGACCGAGAGGCGCAAGCTTTGCAAAAGAGACTGGCTGAGGCCAGAGAGGAGGGCCGAACTGAGGCCCGCAAACAAAAAGAGGAGCTAGAGCAGACGGTGAATCTTTTTGGATGGTTTTCACGTGTAGCTCTACTCCTCAGATAAAATATAAAAACATTTTGACATATTTCTCGTTAACCGCTCAGGGTTATTACATGAGTATTTTGAATTAATAATGTCCATGTGCTCTGTCAGGTATCCAGCCTCTCCCAGCGTGTGGGGGAGTTGGAGGGTCTGCTGGATCGAGCTGATAGAGAAAAGGGTTCACTGACCAACCAGCTTGATGACACTCTCAGCAAGCTTTCCTGTGAGGAGCAAGAAAAAAACAAGGTACACAAAACATGTTCTGGAGAAATTATTTAGAATCAACTAAGGCTTTTTTAAATTTAAAAGAATGCAGCTACATTAGTACAGGTAAAGACTAAAACACCCTGACTGCACTGTTCAAATAAATATAACTATTGTCTGCAGTGCATTTGTAATGCTTTTCTTTTTCCACTTGATGGCAGCAAAGTATCATCTGTTTTTATATTTAATTTCAGTCGTACTGAAAGTTGTGAGTAGAACATGACTGCATGATGTTCATGTTTAACTGTTTATCCAAACACGGTTTGAGATATAGTGCCGTTTTTGAATAACGTGTTATATTAACTATGTTGTGTTCTTTAACGCTTTAACCTCCTGCTCCTGATTATACTCGGCCATAGGATACTCTAAAGGAAATTAAGCTAGTTCTAAATTCAACTTTATTTAGGCCTAAATTAATCATGAATTATGACTTTTTTATTTTATTTTATTTCACCCTTTTTCCATAAGGTGTCAACCAACTATCTATGAAAAAAGCGTTGATTATGCCTGGTATTGTTTCAAAGATAAATGTAAAAGGGTTGTGGAAATAATCAGTACAGACAGACACACATTTAGTGAAACTAAGTGTGCTGTAACTGTTTGATGATAAAGACAGATAAGGAATTGTAGGTTAATTAAAAGATTAAAACAAATCAGATAACCACAAATGAATGGGTGTAAAATCATCTTTAATCTGTTCTTACCATTTCTAGCTCTGTGGTGATCTGCGATATCAGCTAAGCCAGGCCAAACTGAAGAAGGAGGAGGCAGAGAGAGAGCTCAGAGATTTGAACGCCAGGACCAACAGACAAATGGAGAAAGCTGCACAGGTGTGTTTAAATTCGTACTGAACATTGATCTGAACTTATCCATTTATCTTTGAGTCGGCTTCATCTTATTTAAATATATAGTCAATTTGTCAGGTGGAATCAAGAGTCTTTATTGTCATTATGAGACCAAAACAAAACACAATTCCAGATTATAAGGCACACATACAGTTCACAAACAATTTTAGATAAAATACTTATGAGAAACATTATGAACAGAGAAGTGTTTATTACATAATATCTATTTAAAGTACAGCTAGTGCAAGTCCAGTCTATGAAATAAGGTCATGGTTCTGATGGTTTGGGAATAGTCTAGGAAGCTAAACTTAAACAGAAAATCATTTATTCCCACACACCCAGTTTTATCTGATAGATGTAGTTCAAATTTAGACCTCTTTCGTTGGAATTTTTCATAAAACATTTTAGTTGAGAAAAATGCAGTACAACAGAGACCATAATAATAACTATGATATGTTATTATTTGATAACAGAAGCTGAATTATGATCTATTTTTTAAAAACTTGTTTAACTTTGTATAAAATGTTCATGTCCCACTCACTCATTTTGCAGCATTTTGGTCATGATCTAACGGTTTGACAGCATACGGTGGGTTGTTGTGAAAGATTTCCTCAGCTTCTTGTCTTCTTCCATCTCTGCGGGACAGGAAGTGGAAAGGCTGAGCTCAGAGCTGGTTGGCTGTCGGCAGCATCTGGAGGTGGTCCAAAGGGATGGGAGCCAATGGCAGGCCGAAGCCCTGAGCTTAGCAGAACAGCTGGCAAATGCCCAGCGCCAACTGCACCTCACCAGGTAGTACCTAATCCTATTATACATGCCACCACACTCGCACGTACACACACACGCACATGCACACAGCGCTCCCCTCTGCCCAGCTCCTGCCCAGCTCAGCCCAGTCCAGTCCAGTTCAGACCAGCACACCAACTGTACCGCACCAGGTAACAGCTAATCCTATTATACAAACCACACACACATAAATACACATACGCGCCGCTGTGCCATGGTCCCGGTACCAACTGGACCTCACTAGGTCACCTCTAATCCTGTTAAGCATGCCACAGCATAAAGCAACACACACTCTTTACACAAACACACTGCCCGCTCTGTGCCACCAGGCCAGTGCCCAGCCCAGCAACAGCTCCAGCAGAGCCAAAATGGCGGGCGAGGCTTTTTTTCTGTCCCTGGTGCGCACACACACCCACACACACAAACAGAGACACGCGTAAACACAACAGCGCGGCTGATGGTCACTGGACAGCCTGGCCTCAGTGCCACCTGCCAGTGCCCTGCACCCGTCCTCCCAGCAGGCACTACCGGCTCCCATCTATCCTCTTTCTTTTCTCTTTCTGTCCATTTCTGCAGCATCCAGTCTAGTTTTTCCCTGCATCCCTCTGTTATTTCTCCTCTTCCCCTGGTATTCTTTACTCCATTTATTTAGCCATTTGTCTTAGCAGTTATCTGCCTGTCTACCGACACCTCTTGAGCTCAGCTCTTCAGGTATCATCCCCTCCGAACCGAATCAAAATCTTCTCTCTGTCAAGCTATGCTTCACTGTTCTGCTTTTCCTCATATTCCTCCTCCCCGCTCCTCATTCCTACCGTCCCTTTTCTTTCACTCCATCCCTCCTGTCATCCACTGGCTGCTGTTCTCCTCCACACCATTTTCTGCCAAGGCCATGCCAGCCCATGCCAGCCGCTCAGGGCACTCTCTCACCCCCGCTGCCCACAGCCGAGGTGTCTGAGATGGGCACAGATGTGGCGGTGATGCCCTGTGGCTCCGGAGGCTGCGGGAAGCAAGTTAGTGTAATCTGTGTGTACTTTTGTGTCCGTCAGGCTGGGCAATACACATGTGTGGATGTGCGTCCGCTGCTTCTTCTGGCTCCGATCTGTGTTTAAGTGTGTTTGTGTGTCAGCTGGCCAGCGCCGACATGCTGGCTGCATGGCGGGCTGTCGTGTGTTTAAAGGATGAGGCAAGGAGTGTGTGTGTGTGTGTGTATTTTTCAGCCAGCTGTGGAGAATGACATGCATATTAATGCGGCAACATGATGACTTTGACCTGTGCTGGAGCAGCCTTTGGACTGAACCATTTTACAGTGTGAAGTGTGTACAGTTTTTTTTTTTTTTGGTTCTCATATAAATACTAGATGTTTGACGGCTGTTTAATCGGCTGAGGATTTCTAATGACCAAATTTGAGTTTGGTCATTAGAAGAAATGGTTACAGAATGCTCTTTTCAAAATTAAAACACCTGTGTTACAGTCAAGGGTTTTTAGTTAGAGACCACCAGCGTGGACGCACAATTAGCCAAAACTTTAAAATCCCTCCATACTCAGTCCGGATACATGACTTCATATGTGCTTGTGCAAATAGAAACTTAGGCCCTGGATGAGAGAGAACCGTGAATTGCAGAGGATATGAGACTTATCTGTCCTCCTTATTCTTTGTAGAGACACTTCATGACAGAAGTGCCTGTTTATTTTTCCCTGTGACTGTTACCTGAATTTAACTGTAACCCGGCCAGTGAAAGCTGATTTTGCAAAACAGCTGTTGGGAGTCTCCAAGTCTCCAAAATGTTCTCATAACAGTGGTTTCAAATCAATATGAGCCCTTCCGAAACTATAGAGACAAATGGTCCGCACACAACCTTTGTCCCCCCTTAGGAGTTTTTTTTTAAACGTTTTCTTGTTTTTCCAATGATCTTTTCCTCAATACTTACTCTTGTTTTTTGCTTTTTCTACTTTAAAACAAAACAAATAAATTTCAAAAGATGAACTCTTTCTGTCCATCTGGGGCCCCGTGGGAGTCATGTCCAGCTACGTGGGTTTCATTCATTGTCATGCCCTCTCTTGTTGTTCACTACAGAGCTATGCATGAGGCTTTGTAGCTGCATTGGGCTGGTTTGCATTGCCTTGTGTGTGTGCGTGTTACAGAGTAAGGGAAGAGTGTGAGATCCACTGAAGCGAAGCCGGAAGGTGTTTGTATGACCAGCCATCGAAACTCTTTGATTTTCTCTTTGCAACTTCCTCACTCTCCTCTCTCATGCTGTCCTCCACTCATAGCCTGAATGATCAGAGCTCGCCTTCAAACAGGGGACAAGAGGCTCAGGCATTTGTTTGATTTCTGACAGCCCACCTTCCTTCCTGATAAACACGCACCGTACACACACACACACACACACACACACACACAAACCACACAGAGATGAACACGTTTGTTTGTACAACTGCATTTTTGCAAACATGCACACAGATACGCACATCCATCGAACCCGCTTGTCTGTTCACACACAAACAAAGACACACGCATACGCACACGCGCAGATGCAGGCACGCATCCGGGGGTCCCATGGCGGCTGGTGCGCTGCGCTGTGCTCCAGGATTGGATCATCAGCCAGCTGTGAGTTGGACAGCCCAGGATCTGTCCTAATCCCCGCCACTCTGTTCACATCGGTTCACACACACACACACTCCAGTTCTAGCCCCAGCCCAGCAGAGGGCTTTACCAAGTTTGTTTTGTTTGTTTGTTTTTCTTCACTTTCTTCCTTTTCTTCTGTCCTTGCCTTCATGCGGCCTCATCTTTCTCCACTTTGTGTTCACATATCCCCAAAAGGCCACAGAGAAATGTGCCCAGCCTAACCTCCGCTTCAAATCACGCCAGCTAGCAATGAGTGGATAGATGGGTGTTTACATGTGTTTGTGTATCCACGATCATTTGAGTCCAGTGGACCACTTTTGTGTTTGTGGTGTTGAGTGTCTGTGTCGACCAAAATCTTTCACTGGTTTTGTTATCCCCATGAAATCGGACATCCATGTTAATGAGGGTGAATGCCTGGAGACGTAGATGGAGCTCAGGCTCCCTTTGTGAGAAAGTTTTTCTTGCATACATTTTCTCATCTAGAACTGTTGATTTTTTGAATCCCGGGGAAGGAAATGCCTGAACGCACCAGCTGATATCGTCTGAGTTGTGGTTTTATGTGATGAACAGTTGAAAAATGAACTTCTGGGTTTAAAAACATTCTGGTTGTCGGTCAGAGCCGGAGGCAGAGAAGCTGCTAGATGGATCTGTTCTGGCAGTGTTGGCTCAGTAATACTCTCAATTTGACTTCCAAAAAACAGAAAGCATAAAATTTGGGAGGCATTTTTTAAACATCCAAACAGAATACCATTTTGGTCATATATATCTTTATTTGTCACATGCAAACTACTTGGTCATGAACACAAGTTAAGGGACTAGATATACATATAATATTATTAGGTGGCCAAGGAGAATACTACAACAAAAATATTCCTCATTGAGGTTAAAAGAAGAAGAAGAACCCCTTGATGTGATGAAGGAGTCTTGAGGACAGCTTGGCTGTGCCTCTGGTGGAGATCATTGTAGTAGTCGGAAATCCTGGCAATGGCGGGTTGGGGGTGGTTTAAATTGGACAACAACAAAATGAACAAACTTGACACTGTTCCTTTGAAATGAAAGAAGGCTGCTGAATTGGCAGAGGCATGTGATAAAGATGCCTTCCTGTGGAGATCATGGCCACTCGCACAAGCTGGCTTCCCTCCACCTTAGACATTATAGTATAGTTTAAGAAAAACAGAACAAGGGGGAGAGAAATGATTACACTACATGGTATCCAACTAAATGATTTAGATGTTTTTCTGGTTGTCCGTACAAACTTCCCACCAATGCGGGAGAAATTCATTTAAAACCTTACACGGATACACTTTTGGTGTTTTTCTCTCCTTTCTTTGACCCTGAAATCAGAGGACGGACACCCACAGGCACTGAAGTGGACTCGTGACTGACCGCAGTGACCCTCACGTAAAAAGTTCCCAAAAACTCTATCAAACATGTCACGCTGCTGCTCTCTGTGTTCTTCTACCGAGCTCTCATTTTTCCTCCCCTTGGTTATAACTCGTGATGGCAAGGTCTGGAAAGGCGGCGAACAGAACTGTGTGTGTGCGAGGGCGGAGAAGTGTAAATGAGGAAGGTGAGGCAGCAGATGCTGCGTCCCGCCAGAGGCTCGCTTTGAGCAGCGAGCGAAAATCTGGGCGCGACAAAACTGCTGCAAACCAACTCGGCAGGAGGCACTTGTCCAATCACGGCCCGGAATAAAAGGGCCGGGGCGCCACGCGGGCTGCAGCCGCTCAGGAGAGGTGGGGGCCATAATGAACCTTCAAGCGCTGCCAGCGAGAGCTCACACACTTCAGCACAGCATCGCTCTTTTTACCTGGCATTAACACCCTCGAACCACTGCCGCCGCACACACCCACGTGCACTCTGTTTGCTTGCGCGCCCCGAGCTCCCCTCGCCCGTCGATGGTGTGTGTTTGCCTGTCTGCGAGTGTTGGGCTAGATGGGTTTGTGCGCAGGTCTTTGAGGGAATGCTATGTGTTGCTACCTTTGGGCTACACCTGTGTCTGTGAAGTTTGATGTGTGTGTGCGTGTGTGTGTGTCTGTGTGTGACAGCGGCGGGGCAATGCCAGGTACGGGATTTTTCTGTGTGTATCTGCGCGCGTTTGTGTGTGCTTGTCTGGTCGGCGGCCATGTTGTTGGGTAGCAGATGGCACCATGGTTGGCAGGGGAGGGGCTGCTTAGCACAACTAATCAGACAGTTACGGATAGGGCAGCTGGGAGGGCTGTGGGCCAGCCGTGTGTGTACATGTGTGCGTGCACCACACAGTGCCATGATGTTGACAGTGGTGGGCCCGTTGGCCTGGTGACGAGACCTTGCCGCGTTCTTCTCTCCTCGCCGTAGGAGTGCCCTCTCTGCCATCCTGCCTCCTCACCTCCCCCTCTTCAAGT